CCCTGTGGGGCACGGGGCTGGCAGGAAGCAGAACTGGGGAAAAGCCTGTGAAAATTCTGCCATGATTCTATGAAAATCATTCCAGCCTCTTAGCCCTTCCCCTGACGTTTGTTATGACTTGAAGAATTACCAGGAGCTAATGCAGCCTTTACTGAAAGCTTTAGGCATGACCCCCTGTTCAATCAGGAAGCTGGTTTGGATGTGTAGGATAAGGGAAAGTGTTTCTGTATCCCTTGAGAATGGGAATGCATCTACCTCAGGCAGCCTCTGATACAAGTTCACAGGTATCTGCAAAAGTCAAATTTACAGGAGGAACAGCTGGGACCTTGCTGCTGCCTTGGGAGAAGCTGAAAGGCCCCACATTGCTGTCTCCCTTGGAGTTATTATGATTCTTTCAATGCCTTCCTTTCAAAATGCCCTCTTTCCATTAACAACATTCTCCTTTTTAAAATGTCTAAACTTCCTGATATCATGAGAAGAAGATGAGGAACATCACAGTTTATGGAGAGAAATGGTAATTTCTTCCTGCATCTCCCCTTCAAAGCAGCTCTCTCTGATTTTACTCCAGCCTCTTAACACAGCCACTAATTAGAGATCAGTAATTAACTTTCTGGTTCAAGAAATATTTTGCAAAGGAACCCCATTAAAAGGCTGATTTGCTTATTCCAGGACAAAGCAGCCTTGGTATAAAAGCAGGTACAGCATGAGGCCAGTCTGAATTCTGAGACTTCCCTTGAATTTTGATTTTTCTGCTGAAATCTGTTCCTGATGTGGGGGGAGTGGGGACAGGCACCACCCCTGGCATGAATGACATGGAGTGTCACACGAGGCACTGCTGGATGTGCCTGGCTGTGCAAGAGGTTTTATTCTGCATTTCAGTCACTGCTGGTGGGGCTGGATGGTTCCCCCACACAAACTGCACAGTGTTCCCTCAATGCCTTCATTGAGCCTGGCTGTCTGCAGTGAGGTGTCAGTGCCACCCTGCTGAGGTTCCCTCTGCTGTGGCTTTCCCTGCTCAGCCAGTTTCCCTGGATAACACCATTGAGGCAGCAGCTCTCCAGCATTGCTCACACAGATCTGAAAGCCCTCCGTGGTTCTGGGGTCTGCCAGTGCCCTGCTTCTGCAGGGTGAGTCATTCCTCTTTCCAGTTCCAGAGGAAACAGAGCAACTTCATCCTTCACCATGCAGCACTCGCCAGATTCTCAGCAAACTTAACCGATTTCATCCTGCTTAAAAATGTTTGGCATATCAGGTTTGTTGGGAATAAACAAATTAGATCTCCAAGTACTCCCAAACTAAGTTTGCTGCAGGAGCAGCATCAGCTGCTGGTGCACCAAAATAAGCTTTGTGCACATGAAAAGCTCCTACAACAGCCAGCATGGGCATGAGAGTAGAAACTAAATGTGTTGCAGTATGACTTGTATAATTCCTCTTCTCTCTGGGGTTAGAAGTCAAAATTTTGGATGGGCTAAAGACAAAAAGGAGTTTAAAGAGGAAGTCTCAGTAGTGCAAGTTGCTGCTGTTATTAATGCAGGGCTGTACCCCTTCCAAGGCTGAGGCTCATTTAACAATCAACCATATGCTCAGGCTTTTGTAGTGCCAATAAAAGCTTAAATAGAATGTTATCTCCTGGAATTATAAAAAACAAAAACAAAAACCTTGCAAAATAATCACAAATGTTGGTACTCCAGAGTAGCATTAAATGGATTCTAGGTGCACTGAGGAAAGGTGTCTCCAGCAATGATCAGTTCAGGATTCCATCAGAACACAGAGTTACTCAGAGTACCCATTTTTCACCAAATCAAGGCAATCTGAATGCACTTGTCCACACAGTGTTACTGTGGCCCTGCCCTCTCAGTGCTGGTATAAAATCACCTTTGCCACTACCAGAAAATCACCAGCAATACATCCCCACCAATAATGAACAACTGCAGCACAACAACCTTCTCTCCCTTCTCTGGCTCTATGCCCTGTGCTCCATGGCCAACCCAGAAATTTTCTCCATCACAAATTTTGTAGGAGAAATGTGGGTCCAATTAAGAAAAATCCATCTGCCAAATGCTTGATTTGTGGCTGATTCCAGAGGCCACTACAAAGCCAAGCATTCAGAGCTCTACGATAAAAACTTAGTGAGCTGCTGCAATAAATCAGGAGGCAGGAGACATTGTTAGCAAAAAGCCACTTCTTGGAACCCTTTTTAGCTCTAACAAGCAATATAACCAGCCAGCAAATTGAAAGAACACTCATTCCACAATCCTCCTTTAGATCCCATATTTACATATTCTGATTGTACAATATTAATGCACCCCTCATACAGAAGGTGAGTTACACTTGCTGTGATTTTGCTTCTTTTACTATCAGTAATGGTATTATTGTTATTGTAACAGGAAAAAAACCAGTGTGGCAAAATTTGGCCAAGTGCATCCCTCTGAACCCCACAGTAATTTAGTGAAATACATTTGTTTACATTCTCTGCCCCACACACAAACCACATCCGTGTCATTATCTGCCTGAACATGCATGTGCACAGTTCATGTATTTCAAATATTCATCTGCAGGAGAAACAAGACATGCAAGGAAGGGGAAAAAAAGGAGCTAAGAGGCAGGAACAGTCCCAATTTAGATACAAAGAAGCCAAGTAACAGAAACATTTAGGATCTTCTGTAGCTTAATATTTCAACCTGGAGTGTTTTGACTGAATTTACTGCACTATTCATTTTGCTGTGGCATTCCCACAGAAATTGGCCCACGCTCCAGAACAGAGCACTGTTATAATGGTGACTTCCAGAGCAGAGGAGTGGTTCCTGAACAATCAGCTTCCATACAAGATGGAGTCAAGAATCAAATATTTAAGAGGCAAATATTCCAATACCAAATGCTTCTCTGAAACAGTTCTTGGATTACAAGCAAGAAAAGCACAGCAGCAAATGCATGAGAATGATCTGAGAGACCCGAGCTCTTTCATATACATTGTGCACATACAATGGGATGGGAATGTTCAGAAAGATAAAATTATCTTCTGTAACCAAAGCCTCGCTGCGTGACTGAGAGGCCCAGCTGCTGCTTTGCTCTCACCTCTCTGAGAGCAACAGTCCCTAAGGCCGAGCTCTCCTGCAGAGGACTCCTGCTCACCTGACAGATCTGACACTGCCATGGCAGCGAGGGACTCAGAGCCTGCTGTCAGAAGCTCTGAGTCCCAGTGTCCTGCAGCTCAGGGATTCTGTGAATCACAGAGGAAGTGCATTTCTGAGAGATGCCTGCCTAACAGAAGGTCTCGGGCATGAAAGGCATAATTCATTTTCAGTTTCTCATACTCATATAAGCAAATCCTTGGTTATTCGAGGCTGCCAAGTGCCATCTCTGCTCTAATCCACCCTTTAAGCTCTACACTGCAAATTCACTTCAGGATTCCCGAGCCTCTTTAAAGGAGTACAGTACATCTGGGTCTCGGGAAGCCCAGCCAGCCCCCGGGCTGCTGTGCTGGGAGGGCAGGGAAATTACAAGGCTTAATTTGGGAAATGACTCTGGCTGCAGGGCTGGCCAGAACAGTTAATTCCCGTGTCCTATCCTGCCAAGTCACAAACGAAACAGAACTCACCCAGGTAGAAGGGAAGCCTTGCCTAATCTGCCTGTTCCTGGAGCACTCAGCAGCACCGTGGGCACATTCCCGGCACCCGGCTCCGCTCGCTTCCCTCTGGAACACAGTGCCCTACTTCGAGCGTTTGGGAAAACTGCAGCACAGGAATCACACAACTCTGTCTGCCCAGCCAGTAATCCCTGAAATCTTACTCGGCACTAACCAGCACAATCATTTCACCTGCAGAATCCAGAAGGGAAAAGCTTAGGAGGCTGCAATAGGTCAGGTAAGGAAAAATCCAGATTGACAATTGTTGTTTGGAGCTTCAAAAGCTCATGGCCCCTGCAATGAATAAGTACAGCTACAACAAAGTAAGTTGTCATTGCTTTTCAAAGTGAAGCATTTACTCAATGGGTTCTCAAGTACCATCCTGGTGTATTGAACTGCTCTGCTCTGAACTGGTTACATCAGGGTATGTCCAGCCTGAAGGAATTTTCAGACAGACTTTTCCTAGCGCTTCAGTATTTCTGTCAGTCCCCAGAATGATTTGTGTAAGGTTGAAATATCTTCCTTTTGGAAGCAAACCACTATTTTGTGGTTGGTAAAGGAATCTGTCTTCCCCAACCATGACCTTGATCTGCATGTGAATTTACACACGAATTTACCTTGAATGGTGCATGTCTCATGCTCACACTAACATTATCTACACAGACATAAATACACACAAATCCACTAAAGAGCTGTTCTACTTTCTAACCAGCTGAAGAATCTCAAAGATCTCATTTCTCTTCTATTTTACTCGCAATTTGCTCCAATACTGCCCATCCCACGTGAAATGCCTTATCAGATCCATCTGCACATTCCCTGCAACACATTCCTCCTGGGCTGAGCTCCTGTCATGGCTCGGGCAGGAGCAGCAGCTCCGGCCACAGCCGAGGCTCCATCTCGGTGTAATGACGGCAGCCAAGGCGGGATGGAGACGGATGTGTGTGAGGGGAGACGGGGATCTGGGGAGATGATGGTTGTTATTGTTCCACGGTATTGTTCCTACCGTGTGTAACCCAGTTGTGATCGGCGCAGTCCAGCGCGGGAGCATCCCTCCCCTCCCTCCCTCACCTGCATCAGTCGGCTCTGGCTGCTGCATCTCGGTGCTATTTATACGCTGGTGCCTAGGATTTAGGATTTATATTGAGGAAAAGAAAGCAGAGCTGTCAGGCTTCTCTGCACCTGGAATTTACCCTGAAAAGGGAGGGCTTGCACCGTACCCTCAACAACAAATTAAAACTACCCCTCTTGCAATTGACCAAGTCTACTTCTATCGAGACGCAGCCCTCGCTCTGAATTAGATAAGGAAGATCTTAACAAGAGCTGGAAAAATCCATATTCTCCTCTCTTCCACACCCTCCGCGAAACGCGCCCTTACCTTTCATGGTCCACGCTCCTGAAGCCAGGTAAAATGTGCCGGAAGCTGCTGTTCCTATCGAGCTTCGGTTGGCTCTTTGTCCTTTTGATGGAGCCTTTGAGCCGACGGCTGAGGAACCCCTGTGGGGTGAGACAAGAATACTAAATTACA